ATTCAAATTTCGATAAAAAGTTTTATTTTACCATTGAATTTGACCAAAGCATGACTTCATCCCTGCAAAAAAATGAGAACAGTATCCCTGAAAATTTTAACGACAGATGCGGATGACCAAGTCAGGCTGAGAGTCGGGTTTGGTGCTTCTGTCGTCAGGTGACACATCTCCTTGAAAGCAGACGACATGGATGGGCGTTCGTGGTAGATCTGCACAATTGCGTTTGTTTTGATTTTTTTGTTTTGTTTTGGTTTTTATCTCACCATATATGATTAAGTTTAGAGGGAAGCTAGATTGCACCTTTCAACAGGAGCATTAAACAGCTCTGTGCTCAATTCGGTTATCTACACCAATGTCCATCATTTCAATTTTTTAGGGATGTTCTCGTTTATTATAGGAACGAAGCTACGCCTTAAAATTTAACAATATAAATTTTTTTTATTAAAGGGGCACTGACACATCAAAATCATATTTTTTTTTATTATCCGAAACGATTGAGAACGATGCCGGGACATTACCCTCAAAATTTGAGATTTGGGAATTCAGTATTCGTGAAGTAAAAAAACAATTTCCAAATGCCGAATTCGAAGTTCCCGCGCGATCGGCGCCGGTGCCTTGACGTCAAAAATTGAGGAGACCTGAGAGTCCACTTCCTTTCACCACTCCCTGCTGTTGCCCATGTTGCCATGGCGACCCAAAGCGAGGAGGAAAGGAGCGAGCGCAAGCGAACGCCGGCGGACCGGTTTTGAGCGGTGTCGCCTGTTTTCCGTTGGAGGATACAAATCCAGGAGACGGCACCACAACGAACTCCCGATTTTTGGTATTTCAAAAAGAAGGGCCGTACTGCGTTCGCAATTGCGTTAAAAAACATGTTTTAGGATTGCCGTAATTAAATGTTATAGAGATGTCGCCTACAAAGCTTCTAAATTTCCTGATTCTTGACGTCACCGATCAAAAGAAGCGAGGAGGCGAGAGGCGGGAAAATCAAACGCCAAAAATAAAAAGGCGCGCGCGCGCGCGGGAAAATTTTTTTTCGCGATGCGTTTTTTTTTTGCGTGTCTATGACTACAACTTGCATCGTTTTAGACAATAAAAATAAATACGACCTTTGGGGTGTCAGTGCCCCTTTAAAGTTCACTTAGGATGAATCTTTGTGTGTGCAATGTGAGGGCGCTTAGTTTTCTGACTTCTTTTACAGCCAGCCTCGGTATCAGTGACATCCTCTAGATCTTTCCTGCGGCTGTCTCAAACCAAACAATTTACAGCGTGTGTTGCTGGTTTTAGTGTATGTCAGTGTTGTCGACTGCGATGGGCTGTTGCCGCCTGCGTAGGTGCAATTATAGACACTAGTGGTGTCTAAATTGCTGTTTGTTTTGTGTTTTATGGCGAATAGATTTTTTCTGGGCCTTTGAGAAAGCATTTTGTCACCCTTGGGAACAAATCCGAACAAATAAAAGCTTATTTGGGAAGCTTATGTGCGACAGAACAGGTGCAACTGGAATGTTTGTTTTATTTTACGCAGACTTTTTCCAATCCAAACACTTGGCCATGTCACTCTACAAAGGTCTGAACTGTCGTAAATATTTAACCACACAGGATAACTGAAAGGAATTGGCATTCCCCCGCTCACATAAAATTCAGCAAGTCTCATCAATCAAACAACATTGTGCATACCCTACGGTGCTGCATTATCCAAACAGGTTTTATTTGTGAAAGATCTCAAATAACACTGCATATCCGATCTACAGGGATTGAGAAAATGAAACTTGATATTTTAGCCCATATAAATTAACTATGCATGGCAGAAAGCTAAAATTCCGTGAGAATGTGATGCTAACAGTGGAGATATAATGTGAAAGATTGAGCAATGACGTTACTTGGATCAGAAGATACAAAAGAAAAACTAAATTTCTCTAGTGGGCGACGTCCACCTAAGCCTAATGTTCATCAAAACGAAATTTGAGATTGTGGGTGCCTCTTGCTGAGAAGTTTTTTTTTACTGAAATAAAGGCTACAGGTGTCCCAATCTAAAATTTTGGTTTGATGATTATTAAACTTAAGTGGACGTCGGCTCACGGAGAAATGTTGTTTTTCTTTCTTATCTTTTGATCCAGGTATTGTCATGTGCTCAAACTCTCACGGAGTTTCAGCTTTCTGTGATGCATAGTTCATTTATGCGGGCCGAAAAACCGGTTTTAATTTCCGCAATCTTACTCTGTACGATAGGATGGAATCCGGATTTGTTTTAGGGCACGTTTTGAGAACTTGTTTTTTTGCACAGCACCGAAGCAAGGAACGGACGTTTCTGTTTCGTCCGCTACCCCTCACCTGATCTGCTATTTTTCGCAAAGACCGTAAAGGCTTTCCGGAGATTTTCTTGGCGGAGATAATCCTCAAAGAATGTGGAACGACCCGCGTCGCAAGCTGTTCTTAAACGTTTGCTCTCTTCCTTCGTTTCCCGTGAAGGTAGAGCAGGCAATGAGCCCTGGTATTCCCTGGTTCTCACATCACAGTGAAAGGTAACACAAAAGGGATAAGCATCCTGAATAGGCCAATAAAGTGCAAACTTTGAAGAAAGGCCGGTGAGCTCCGAATGCACAACACAGGTGGAGAGGCGCACTGACCGGGTTTCCACAGCCCAGGCGGGTGGCAGAAATTTCTGGTTGATAGGGGTCGCAACAGTGGCAGAATGGCGGTGGCTGGAGAGTTCTTTTGGTAGGGAACTGAACTTTGATGTTATGCAGTTGTGGTCACGCCGAATCCTCCAAAACTCGCTTGTTGACGTTCTTGTCCTCGGAGCCAGTGCTGACTTCGACGGGCCCAGAAGATGTTGGCTGCATGAAGAAACGCATGAGTCGAGTGCATATGCACCTAACCTTCGCGACGACGAGCGAAAGCTTCCTCGTTTTTTCTTTTTTTCTCTCGTTAGTCGAAAGAAAATAAAGCTTTTTTTTCTTTTGGAACTTTTTCTGTTTAATAACTGCAAAATTTGAGCCAGATTTATTGAGTATTGTATTAAATTTCAGTTTTAGAGTTCAGATTTATTGAGATTTACTGTATTATATATGCAATGTTACATTGCTCTCGATTGTAAATATGATTTTTTTTTCAATTATATTTTATATTGTATTTATGGCAGAAGAGAGCTACCATTAGGACAAGACACAGACAACAGAAACTGCACACATCTTTCAAGTTATCTCCTCCCTTGTATAGCTGTCAGAGGAGCTTCAAACACACAATGAAGTCGATTCGATAGATTGGTGTCGCTAGAACGGCATCCCTAATGCACCATTCGCTCAGATGAACACCGCCATTCGCTGAAGTGTCGTTCAATGATATCATGGGCGGGCTTCAATCGCTAAAACGTTGTTCGATCAAGTCAGTGCCTTCCAGGTCGTACCCAATTCAACGTTAATCACGGCACATGGTAGTGTGAAAATACTTCAAGATTTATAGTTTCTATCATTTTGATGAAGTTAACAGAATAGTCCCTGTAAAAAGTAACTTCACTTAGTTACAAGTTACTGGAAAATGTACCTAAGATACAGATACAGATACCGAGAAACTATAGTACCTAGTTTTGTACCTTCGTTAAACAAAAGTACCTAATACCGATTTCCAGTTACTTGTACCTAGGTATTTTACAACCCTGTCTGTATGCATGTGCAGTGCCCACACGTGGTGTGAGCAACTACGTGTTTCGTTGTGGAAATTGATGGATTACCCGCAAATGTTCAGTGCTCTCTCAACATATGCCATCTAACTCGTGAGTCTAAGGGATCATTTGCCCTTTGAAGGGACCGCATAAATCAGTTTCTTGACGTATTGAGCTAAAACTTTGTACAGAGGTGGCCAAAGATGGTGCATTTTGTGTATCAGAATTTCCAAGAATGAAGAGTGTGAATTTGCTACCTACGGTCACTGCTTGCTAGAAAAAAGTGTCTTGTTGGCTCAACAGCTGGCAGATGGAGGCAGGTAAGAGTGAGGGTGCAGACATTGATCTCCGATTGCAGACAATATTTTTGAGTCTCAAATGCAACTCTTTCAGTGCAGTGCACGATTTTGTTATTTTTTTTACTAATAAAACACTGAGTGGGCATTAAATCAATGAGGAAGAGTCTTTGCCAGGCTATTTTGGCTAAATGTCAACAGCTGCCGGTATCTGTTGGTTGTTGCACCAATTAGACACCCTTTTTTTTTATCAGACGGTCACTGTAGGTAGCAAATTCACAGTGTTAATTTTTTACTCTGAAATTTTGTTAAACAAAGCGCACCATCTTTGGCCACATCCTTGCCATATCTTAGCTCGATACGTTAAGAAACCGATTTGTGTGTTCCCTTAAAAGGGCCATCGACATCTTTGATTGACGCAATAGCAAATATTGGTATCTAGGCAAAAAAAAAAAAATTCAGGGCAGACCGAAAAGCAAATTGAAGTGCAAAAGCGGAACACTAGATTTGCAGCATACCTTCCTAGTGTTGCCTTATGGGAAATTATTGTGTACAGTGCTCAGTGAAACGAAATGGACCAGCGGAGCATACGCAGTTACTCGGCGAGGTTACGCGCCCCACTGGTCCATTTAATTTCGTTGAGCACTGGACAGGGAGTTGTCTTGCTGCAGCTTTTTCTCGTACTAGTACAAATCATTTTCTGACAAATGATTCCACTGTTAGGGTTGTGGCTAAAATGTAAAGGCAACACATTGTAGCTGCTCTTTTAGCACATGCCCTCAGCGGTATACCATGTGGCATCCGGCTGGGAAGAACTCGGGTTTGATCTGGTTGCACCTTGAGGCTTATTGAAAATCTCCCGCGTCAATCTTGTAAACCCTTAAATAATTAAAAAGAATCTTCTGCATTGATTGATGTTTGCCTAAACAGCATGGCTGCAGCTGTATTCTCTGCAACACTGGTGGCTGAGCTAGATGGCAGTTTTCCAGCATGAGTGTTTCATGAGCCGCATTTCTTGTATGCTAAAAAGTGGTTCTTTACACCAGGACACTGCTGGAAGTGAGCGGTACGAAGCCATGAGCCGGATTTATTACCGGAGTGCCGGCGCAGCCGTCGTCTGCTTTGACCTCATTGACAGGGAGAGCTTCCAAAAGGCCAAGTTCTGGGTTGAGGAGCTGCGAAAGTATGAAGAGGTGCGTCCCATTTGCTGTTGGAGCTATCATTGTAGCCACTGGAAAAATGACAAGGCGTGCTCTCTGGTCGATAGTATTTCAAGTCAGTTTGTGTTGGAGTGGGCAGGTACTGATTATTGGCTCAGCTGATTTCATTTAGAAAAATGACAAGCTCGAATTGACTCCGATTCTTTCACTGACTCCCTTATATCGAAGTGTACAAAGCTCAACACAGTCAGTGTGAACGCACGATTACCGGTTTTTCCCATCTTAAAAAGGAAGTATTTGAGCAAAAATACAATTTTAGAACATTTGTTTTTCTTTATAAGTCACAAGAGCATATACGGATGTGTTTTTTTAAGCTTTACAGGTTTGTGTTAAAAAAAAGCCGTGAAAGCTACACCTATGCGGTTTGTGCAGGTGAGTTATACTGCCAGGAGAACATAGTATAGGAGGATAATCGTAACGAGCAGTCAGCTGATTAAGTATAATTTTTAGTTAACTTTTTAATTAGTGAAAATAAGCATATGGTTCCAATTAGAAACTTGCTGAGCGTTATTAAGAACCACTATATGAACTGTTTGTAGGAAAATATAAGACGGGCAGCATTTTACGGCGTTTTGAAAAAACGCTCAGTTTCGATGCGTCTGTAGGTTTCGGTTTCTTATCGGAGTGCATCGTTGAGCCTGTAGTCCTGCTCCCCGGTGGTCGCGGCGTGAAGCCACCCTCTCGGCTCCCTCGTAGGATGGGGGGAGGTGTGGCGCACATGTGTTGCACGTCTCCCATGTTATACGTTTTGCTGCCAGGGGTTGTCCCCTGGTCGTATAACGCGCCTGCACAAACTGCATAAGTGTAGCTTTCACGTTTTCTTTTATACAAATATGTAAAGCTTAAAAAAAAAAACTGTTTACCGTATTTATTCGAATGTAAGGCGGTCACGATTATAAGGCGAGGGGGCAGTTGAAGGACCCAAGAAAATGAAAAAATAATCGTCATATTGCTATACTGAGCTTCGAATATAAGGCGGGGTATGACTTTGAGACTATGGAATTTAGAAAAAAACCTCGCCTTATATTCAAATAAATACGGTATACTGCACTCAGAAAGTGCACATTTTTTAGTTATGTCGATTCAGAGTCTCGCATCCAGGTCGATCATAATCATTTCCAAGTAAGGTTTTACATTTTCAGCTTCTTTTTATATATATATATATACACACACACACACCGTAAGATATCGGGCAAGTGCCCACTCAAACTTTGGAGATAATCGCAAAAAATGGGGGGATAGGCGTTTGTCTGGTCATCAATTTTACATATAAATGTACTGTGCGTATTTTCTCAGATCTTACAAATTTGGTAATGGGCGCTTAGTGTGGAAAGGGTGGATGCCCGGTATTCTACGGTATATATATATATATACCATAGTTTTTTTTTGAATTCGGCATATTTTTATAGTTTATATGTAGAAAGTTTTTTTTTATGTGTATTTTCCAGAGTGTTTAGCGAGCAAGAAGACCGGGAATCGTCAGGGAAATTTTAATTACCGGTAAAAATCGGGGAATTGTCAGGGATATTGTCAAAAAGCGAGCGCAGTCAGGGAAAATGAGCCGGAAACACCATCAAGTGCCCTGCGCAAAGACTTAAGGACTTTGGGGGCTAAAAAATGGGCAATAAATTCTGCTTAGAGCGGAGCGCGGGCTCTGGTTACCCGATGTAGAGTCTGCTACACAATGTAAAGGGAACAGCCGACAAGTCCAGTCCAAGCCTTGGATTGGATTGGTGTGGATTGAGGGCGCGACATTAGGCTAGATCCAGTGATAGCTACTAGATGTAGTAACAAATTGGAAAGCTACAGAACCCAATCCAATCCAGGCCCTAAGCCGAAAGTATCCGAAAATGTGCATCTGGCGGCCATGCCATGCGGCCATGCTGCCATTCGCTTATTGACGTGTGTGGTTGAGCGTCATGTTTTCATCGTGTTTCTTTTCTGGAAGTGGCCTCTTCGCCGACGATGTCGGCGGCAAGAAACTGCTCGTCTAATCCGGACTGGACGAACCCGAATATTTTGGAATATGCAAGTTGGATTGAGCCCGTGCAAAATGATCCTCACAGTGTCCAGTGCTCAATGCGTTATGTTGTAATGGTGTTGTATATTTAACCGCCTCTACAGTGGTCAGGGAATTTCACCTGATATTGTCAGGGAAAACCTGTAAAAGTCAGGGAAAATCAAGATAATAATTTGCTAGACACCGTGGTTTCCATTCAACCCAGGACCCTGTGTGGTTTCGCTTTTGTTAGAGCTCTTGGCAAATGTGAGCAAAAGGTTCAGCACAGTGCTGTCATGGGGAGCTTGCATCTGTCGTATGAAAGGGTGACTATTGATGTGATTAAGATGTAATGAGATAAATTCCTAAAATAGCATTTTTATTTGTCATAGTAGCGTGTGTAACATTAAAATAATTACGAAATACTCACAGACCACTATGGATGGGGAAGATATTAGCAGGCTCTACCCGGCATATAACCCATAATATAGCAAGGAACCTTGGTTTCGTTGGTTGTCTAGATTGCTTTTACTTTATATTATGATTGTAATAAAACGGAAGGTTTCCTCTGTTAATGCATGCACATTCTTTGCCATATATTATTGTCTGTTTCGGCCTTCTCACCATTTACCTGAGCCGCTCGACGCTCCCCTTCCGTACAGGTGCATTTACACTCGAAATTGGCAGGCTGGGGAGGTGAAGTACTACAGTAGCTGAAGCTAGCCAGCCAGTCAAATGTGGGTGCCAAAAGACAACCGGTACCGTGTTTCTATGCACTCCATAAACTCCGGTTACAATATGTGAACCTCATCCTTAGCTCTGATAGGAACTTTGAAAATGCCCTCATACATGGGACAACCCTATCTTCTATAGAACGGGGAACTTGGCACACAAGCCGATTGCACTTCTTTCTTCCCTTCCAGTACATGTGAGTTGTGAGTGTGCGCCTGTGTATCGTCTACCTGTTTCTTTCCTCAGTTCCTGTCCTTTTGTGTGCAACTTTAATTATGCTGGCACACAAACAAGGTCACAGGAGGGCCCTTCTCAGACGTCCATCAGCTGAGGCTTACCGCTCTAAAATACTCGCCTTGTTTGCTTGAAACCCATTAAATTAATTTGACATATATCGACCGCTTTAAGGCAGGGGTTGATACATGACAGTAAGAGGCCGGATTAGGGTGCCTGTTACAGCCTCGAGGGCAAGAATTTAACGAATTAAGATAACTGAGAAACGAAGCACTAGATAAAATAGACCAAGATAAGCATTTGAACGCAGAAATTTAAGGGGAATGCACCAGGGGAAAACATTTTTGTTTTAATTCTTTACAATAACTGAGTGAAATTTTCACTGTTTATTTGTGACTCCTGCAACCAAATTATTTAAGCAAAGCACTGAAATTGTTGCACAGCTCCTTTAAAAAAGTGTAATAAAATATACCAACTCGCTCCTTTTAAGGTGCAGCCCCACCATGTATGCTGTTTTGCTTCATTTTTGGCGGTTTATAACTTTCTTTCTATGTATTCTACACTCGTCAAGTTAATGTTAAATGAAATAACTGTTTTTAGGTATGCATTAATGTTTCAATATTACATTTAGTTTTAGTTGTTAGTTTATTATTTTAACTTTTAATAAACCACATTTTCTGATATTGAACAATTGTTTTCTTGACTTAGAATATTGCAATGTCCACAATAATTTACGTGAACAGTCTGTTGGATATAGTGGCATATAAAAGTAAGCAATTAACTGCACAGAGGATGTGCATTTAAAAAAAAAAAAATTTAAGTTTCAAATAGTGTTATTTCTTGTGCTATAAAAACAGAATCATGTCAGCTAACGAAAATAACGAGACATTATATTATGAAGCATCTTTTGATATTATATTTTCCAGAAACTGCATTTCGATGATTACATGTGAAGTATGGTATTCAATCACAAACTTTTCCCATTCAGTTTCGGCAAGTTACCGTTTTCTAATATTGAATGCAGATGGCGATATTTGTTCAAGAATAGCTTGATTTGAATTTGTCGTTGTGCCGCTTGGAACGCCACGTGAGACAGAAATGTCACTAGATGTGTGGATGTCAGGTGCCTGGATGCCCGCACTGAGCGAGCCAGAGATGCAAAAACAGCAAGCGCGAGGCTGCGAGTGGATTACAACTGCTTTTGTGCGCATTTCTTTTGTGCATCGGTATGCCTAAACGAAATTGACGCCATGAAAGGGATTCCGTCGGTTGCAGTTCCACCATGTTTGCCAATTCGGTTATCTTTTTTTTAATTGCAGAAATTATTTCCGCAATCGCATTACGGCTTGTCGGAATGGTGCGACTATAATTTGTTTCATAGCCTTCTCGGTGGCTTTTAACCGGAAATAATATATAAGAAAAATCTCGGTGGCTCCGAGGCAAAGCGCTGGCCTACGGGTCCCGCTTTCGAGGGTTTTAATCCCGTCCAAGGTGCCCGCAGTCTGAACGTGGCCTGTTACTGAGAAGACACCCATGGCAATTGAGATTTCGGTTGCACGACAAAAGATCTCCAGTTGGTCAAGAAATTAACACGCTGTTTAATTTGCTGGGTCAATATGCTCTCCCTTGATTTGACCCGAAGATCTGAATTTTGACTTTGCTTTAGCTTAGATGAGGGCACAGTCAACACTACGGGCCGATGAATTGCCAATCATGCAGCGCCACGATTTCACAGTAATGCAATTCATTATTTTTTGTGTCTATGCTATCATCGGCTAAACCAAATTAGTGAATACGACGTGGCATTAAATCTTTAATGTGTTCGCGTTTTTTTGTTTTTCTTTGTCTTCATATTTTTTATTGTGCTTTTACTTATGATGAAACAGGGCATAGTTGTTAAACTTCTGGGAAAATATTGTATATGTAACAAAAATAACACGCTAATGTAAATGAAAAAAAAACACGGAAATATAACAATTTTTTTTTTATATTTTTGATAGTCAAATAT